TGGCTTGCTTGCTTGCTTAGGTGACGTGATTCCTCTCACTGAGTAACGCAGTCAGTGAACTCGAGACTTGGGCCACCCTGAGGAGGAACTACTGCGACCTTGCCCAGGTAGCCAAGCGCTTGCCCCTCACCACAGCCTGTGATCCATAGCTGACAGCACAACATTTTATTTCTTATCATGCAGTCTGCAAAATTCCATGTTTTGGGACTGTTCCAATTTCATATACTAAAGTAAATCAATCAGCAAGACGACTCATGAAGATTAGTCTGCTTATTTTTCAAAAGAAAACCGTATCATACTCACTCATCACATATAACCAATGCCCCCACATCTCTTCTCATTCTTTCCCAAAATGTCTTAATTCCAGTTTTAAACATGCAAGAGAAAAAACATGCTTTTAACATCTGGACTTGGTGGCACACAGTGAAGCCTTTCAGGGCTTAGTCATGCTCTTTGATAGTTACTTGTTCTGAGAATTTATTGCAAGAGAGCCAGTGCTATTTAGGTGGAAGTTCAGATAAAGAAAGTCAAGTGTAAGCTGTGATTGTGCTTGCTTACAAGTCTGAATTTAACCTAAAATATATCTAATTATTGAAGCAACTATCACACAGCAGAAAATCAAAGGAATGGAAGTACAATGGCTTAATAAGAGAGCTGGGCCCTCTTGGAGACCAGGGTATTGACTTGTCTAGTGCAAATTCCTTTGCATCTGCATGAGATTATCACATTTTAGATTTTCCACAACCTCAATTTCTATCAGTGGCGGAGTAGGCAGTTTAAAAAAAGAAAGAAACCCACATGCCTGTCACTCTCTCTCTCCTTTCACTGATAGGAATTATGACATAAGGCTTTCTAGTCAAAGCACGGATATTTAATTAGTTTTCTTTCTTTTTGTCCTTACACGTACTTTTATCGCTGTAAGTCTTCTATACATGTTCTTCCCTGTTTCAGGTTTGTTCTTGTCCACTACTTTCATGTTAACAGTGAAAATCCAAGACCTATTTGTATTTTCTACAATCTGATTTCACTTGATCCTTTAATACAGTGCTCTGGTAGAATGTGAAAGGGGGTGAAACTGCCAGGGCCCTAGTGAAGTGTTTCAAAAACTCTCTGGAATTAAATTGCAAAAAGCTGCTTTTCCTACACTGTTTAAAGTCATATAACAGAATTCTGCCAATTTGTTTACATTTATTCAGAAACTCTCTTCCTACCTACATAGAAGGGTAAAGTTCACTTCTACAGCATTTTGATTGCCCCATAGTCAGTAATAGACATTATCTTCATAAGAACATATAACGTGAAAAGTTGAGCAGATCATTCACTTTATCAAATAAAAAACTAAGTGATTAAGGAAGATGAAATTGTCAAAGATTGAGAGGGAATTTGAATATGAACATTCTTGGTTATATATACACAATGCAATAGATAGTGTTTCTGGGCATTCTGCAAAGATGCATCCAAAACCCCAAGGCTCCAACAGCAAAGACTGATAGGTTATTAAATGCCAACCTCAATTAGATAATAACGTTTGTCAAGTTGTAATTTCATTGAAACCTTCAGGCATTTACATTACAAGATTGTAAATCTTAGCAATACACAAAGGACGATTTCCAAGCAGCAGTGCAGGAAGCGTAACAACCAAAACCTTGGACAGTTGTACTACATAATTTGAGGAAGCAAGGCTATTTATGTACTCAAACAGTCATTATTAATCATTTGAAAATGACTTAAAAATTAATTTGCATGACGTGTGATCTGTAAAAGTCAGGTTAAGGCAAGGAAGCACAGCTATCAGGTAAATACAAAAAACCCTTTGAGGCCTATAGGTTTCTTACCATCATGATAGTACCTCGCACCCTGATTTACTGTTCTATATACTGTCCAAACACTGAACACAAAGATAGGACTCATTTCTTCTCTGGAGTATCCATCTGAATGGCAATATGCTGCTCTTCTCTCTAGAGGTCTCTAGAGAACCTCCACGAGTTGAAATTGCCTTAACTTCATCTGTGACCTAAACGTCCTGTAAGGATTTTGTAGGTTGATGAGTGACATCAGGAGACCTGCAACTTCATGCCTCAATATCCATAAGGGGGTACCATCTCTCTTTCAGCATTTATCTGAAGTTACTCATCAGACTTGCATTTTAATAAGTGACCCATTATAAGAACATGATGGCAGTAACTATCATAGGTCATCACAGGTATGTCCCAAACTAGTAGCCGTCACTAATACAGAAGGCAGTTTATTGACTCCATTTCAACAGTGGAAGGGCCTTTCTGGGCCTGCCTGCAACTTCACTTTTCGCAGTGACAAAACAAAGCAGTTCCTTCTTGCATCAGCCTGAAAGTATGGCTCCACTTTAGAAACGAGGGTGCCTGGTGGCAACCCCTGAATAAAAACCGTGACGCTATGCTACATCTGCCGAGGAAACAAAAGACATAAAACTTAAGAATGGAGGCTTTTCCGAATGAATTTCAAAAGGAGTACTCCAGGGTATATACTGCAAAGCAAGAAGGCAAGAGTGAGCAGAGAAGTCTGTCCTCCCAGTAAAAGTTGTAGCTGGGGTATGGGAAATGCTAGGTAAGAGCCTCTTCGGGTTATTATCTGATGACTGATCATTTGGCTATCAACAGATGCCAAACACATGAAATCCCTTTTTCGTCTTTTTCCATTTGGTAGAATGCTCTCCTTTTATATGCACTGTAGTGTTATCTAAGCAGACTAATTGTTATCTTTACTGTTACCTAAAATTTCATTTCCTTCCTCAGTTTCAGATATTAGAGTACCATTTTCTTATTGTGCATTTTCGAGATATTTTGACTAAACCTCCTCTTAGGATCACTGAATGTGATTACTGTCTTCATAATCACCAGTTCTACTACTATAGGAATTGACAGTAAACCAGGTACATCAGTAGGACACTTTCCACTGAGGCACAAAAATCTTGAAAAATGTTACAGGCATATTATAGCACCTTTCCTGTCAAGCAGTTGATTCCAGTTTCTTGGGCTTGTTATGAACATTTTGTTCTTCACTGTCACTAATCAAGTGGAGTAAGTGCAACCATTTAAAAGGAGGCACACAAATTGTTTATATATACAAGATTGGGAGGAAAAAATAAGCAGGGAAAAGATAAAGCTTAGTATATGGTAGACATTCCCGAAATATGGAAGTGCAATAATAATTTTAAGTCGCATTTATGACTGACTGTCTGGAGTAGGAAGTTCTAATTTCATAATTTCTAAACTACTTTTCTTTCCTTGTTAAGAGATTTGCTTCATTCACAGTTTCATAATGGGATTCCCACTTCAGGTCTTCTAGTGCCGGTTCTGACAAGCTGTTAGAGTTGCTGTGCAGCAGTACAACATTTCTACCCTGAAATAAAGTGTATGGCATCTCTTCCCTGTCATCAGCCTGAGCAGCAGGCATCTTGCAACAGCAATAAACTCTGCCTCAGTCAGCTGGCAGACTTAGAGCATACGGACAGGCTCCCTGCTTGTTGGGTGGTGAGGGTGACACTCCTCAGGCCTGTGTTTGCTGATAGTTATAATAATTATACCCTTTTGATCTGTGCACAAGGGTAACCCAACTTGGTCATACAATGATGATCCCTAATCTCGTCCTTCCGATCTATAATCTGTCACAGTCATACATCATTTCCAAATAGATGGGAGGCATTTGAAGGCAGGGACCATTTCTCTACACATACAAGAACCCGCACACTGGGGTCTCAGTTTTGAATTTGGGGCATCATTGCAATACAAATGACTAGTTAACCTACAAAATGTAACCTCCATTTAATAGAAATGTTAATGACATGTTTTACTGTATGTCACACTATGTTACCATAAATAGCTTTATTTTATTTTTTAAGCAGGAAACTCTCAGATTCTTTTTTTATTTTCAAGGCGTACATGAAATATTTATGTGGGACAGAAACTGATAAAAGATCAGGTAAACTAATATAAATCTGTAGGATTGTTTTTCTATTCAATTACTAAGTTAAGGTTAAGCATTCCATGGGAAAATTTTAGTCATAAGGCCGATTACTACAAGAAGGTTCAGTACAGGTTCTACAATTTATACCAAATGTCTTGATGAAAATTTCATCATAAGGTCTTGGTTCTGCATTGCATCCTTACTAGGCCCCTTATCAAAAAGAATTAGTCCAGCTTAGTTTTATTGGCAGTTCTTCCCTTCCGATTCACAAATACCACTTAAGGGCAGAGGAGGATCAAAACACCACCACAGATAAAGGGTCAGGGGTTTTTTCCCCCTACATAATCAGATTTTCTTATTTAACATCCTAACTCTCTCAAGCTGTAAATGTTTCATTTTAGGAGGTGGGGAATGAAAGGAGCCATTTTCCTTTAACAAAATATTACAGAAAATATTACAGAAAAAATTTTAAACTGCCTTACCCTTTATTCACTTATTTGCTTCTCCTTCGTGAGACTGTGCTTGTATGAGCACTTCAGCATAGTCCGGGTGAACCTTACCAAGTAATTGCCCCAGCTGAAAACTGACCACTTTTTTCACCTTGGCAACTTTCAGATCAGGAAAATTACCTGACCCAGCCGCGGGCATGGTAGTGACAACTGCAACAATGTACATTCGTATGAGATTAAAGTGTTGACCGAGGCCCGTGAAAACTTCTTGTTCTGACTACTCAGCGTTAATGACAGCATATTCAGTTTAAACATTAGCCCCTGCAAATGTTGCAGCCTGTGGAGGCTGTGTTCAGTCTTCAGAAAGGTTGATCAAACTGCTCTTAAAGTCACCTCTTAACAGTGTGGCAATTTGTCAGAAGAGGAAAGGTGCAAAGGATGACAAAGTGCAGAAAGCACCATGTGAAACCATACCTAGAGTGCTGGATTGGCTCTTTTAGAAGCATATTGATCCTGAAAGGACACCGTAATTGTCAGTAAGTTTGTGTGTGCTT